TAAAGAGATCAACTTCGGTTGACCTGCACTTTAAGCAAGACCAGCGAAGACCTTTGCCATCACTAATAGCGTCCAGAATTCTTCCTGTCAAACCAGCACATTTTAGATGGCAAATACCATCACAGAGCCAGCACGATAAGTAGCGTTCAGATTCGCTTTTAATTTGTCAGTTATCAAGATCACACTTCATATTGAAAGATTTAATAACACTTATGTTAATAAAAAGACAAGCAAAATAAGTTTAACACAACACACACAACAATTTAGGAGCTGATGTATTTAGCTTAAAAATATACGTAGCGAACAGTTTGAGTATCACTGTATTGTGACACTTAATAAACGCAGCGCAAACAGCTGTGACAAGAAATACTAAACGAAGTAAACAAAAAGAGCAAAAAGAAATGTGCAAAAATAGAAACGATCTCAGTTAACTACAAAGGAATAACAACAACAATGATAACAACAAATGACTCGGCAAGATTAGATGTAAGCTAGTGAAATTTAATTAAATTTAATATAAACCACAAAAATCACAAAACTTTCACTTAGCTTCGATTATTATCACACTAAGATGCTCGTAGGCACTTTTTATAGCAACTTTTACTCAGAAATTAGCACAATAAACTTTGCAAAATACAAAGACAAAACAGAGCACAATATAAGTAGAACTTCACAGCTTGACGTTTGCAATAATGCGATGATCACATACATATATGTATATCGGTAACCATTCTACCAATTTGTACCAAACTCGGTATTTTTATTGTGCTTGCCACATAAAAGCAAAAAGTTGAAAATTATTGAAATCTGACTAAAATTACGGCCGCTTTTCATATAACGGTAAATTTCAGAAATGCTTGAAACTTCAATATTTCGAAATTTAAGGACGCTCATTTACTCAAAATTGATACACCCCGGCTTACCATCTAGCGGTAGCTTTCGGAAAGGTGAAAAAACATATATTTAATACATGCGCCGGGTATTTAATGTTCGGCTCCACCCGAACTTAGACTTTCTTACTTGTTCACTAATTTAGATCCAATATTTACTGAAATATCGCAGTTTTTGTATTTTTCGAAAATAGCTTTATACGGGAAGTGGGCGTGGTTACAGTCCGATTTCGGCAATTTTCAATACCAACCTACCTTGGATAAAGGGAAACCTACATACCAAATTTCGTGGAGATATGTAAATATCTTCTCGAGTTGTCGTGTACACGGACGGAAAGACAGACAGACATGGATTAATCGAGTTCTTTTTTAATTCTGAGCATTTATGTGTCCATTTGTCTATATATATCTATCGCGATTAGTTTTGGCTGTTACAAACATCCGTTATGTGAATAAAGTTATAATACCCTTGTGCACAAGTGCGCACGGGTATAAAAACAAAAATCCCTTTTCCCTAATTAAAAGCTGTTTTGTGTGTGCAACACCGATATTTTGTAAATAAGACACGTGAGAATATGCGCTCTCTGTGCAGACCAGTGTTTTATACTAAAGTTATTACAGAAATCCCGCGCTGTATGTATCTATTATACATAAAGTGCTTTCGAATGAAAAACACAAGTATGTACATAGATATGCAATATTACATAGGATTTATATACATTAGGGCGGGCCAATTCTTTTGACTATGCGCCCATAGCATAAGAGGATTCTACTTGTAATTCTAAGCAACTTTTCCGAGGAAACCATGCGTCAAAAATCAATTAGCAGTTTGCCATACTGCGAAAATACATAGGTTTAGAAACCCCTGCAGCATGTTTTGTAAAAAATTTAAGCAATTCTTTACGACACCACAGCAAAGTGTTAAGAAACCTATTTTCGCAATTTGGAAGATTCCAAATTGATTTTAGAGCCATGGTTTCTTCGGTAAAGGTGATTAGAATTACACGTATGTATATGCAATATGCGCATAGTCGAAAAAATCTCCCATACAAATTCACCCGCCTTAATACACCTACATACATATTTTATTTTCTCATTTTTTTAATTTCTAAGGACAAAAATAATTTATACAAACAGCTTTCTCATTCGTTTTCGGGTTTAAATTGATTAGTTGGCTGACATTTCATTGGCTAATCTTAGTTTAAACCAGCCAGCTCGGGCGTTTAAACTATGTATAACCACAGCCGTGCACTGAAAAACTGGCCCCATGTCGCACAATTCAATTGTTTGTTAAGTAAATTAGATTTGACTAAACATATTTAATGCTTTTTCGCTTAATCTATTTCTCTTTTTCGTTTCGATGTCAGTAACCAGTGAACTATTTATTTCCCCTTTGTTAACGACTACCTCCCAAACGTTTGCCATGGGCAAGTTTTACTATTTGCATTATCAAAGAATAGAATCACTCAAAATACTTTTCAGAATCTAGAAACTCGAAACATTTGAAAAAAGAATAAATGGTTGGAAAATTTTCTAATGTTTCAAAAATATACAACTTCTCGAGTTCCCCACACGTTTTTGTAACTTCTATCACTTTATTTTTCCCAAATTACTTTCTGTATAACTCATAAACTTGCTATTACAAATTTAAAGTGAATGAAGTTCCGCTGATAGGGTTCATATGAACGGCGTTAATTAACGCAGAGAATAGCTTTTTCTTATTTACCAATTACTAAATTTTCTTGCTTGGTATGCTAGGCAAAAAATCCCGTTTTTCGACAGAAAATCCCATTCGCCCTTTTTAGTCATAAAATCCCGAAAAAAGGGCGAAATCCCCCAAACTGGCAACACTGGTGCAGACATTCAGACATTATCTTCCGAGAGAATTTCAACCCCTTCCAATTTGGATTCAGAGTGAATTGCAGAACCTGCCTGAATAACTGTAATCATTGAATCATGGGAGAAGGTAAATTTTATAAGCGGAAGGGAATACGTTCGTTCCCCTTTTTAAAACTCCAAACATAGCTTTTTACCTTCCTTTTATTAGCTCGGGATGTAACTATGCAATATTGATGCGCCTAAAAGATGCAGCGATTTCTATTCTCAAGTTACATACCTGATGACAGTACGAATGGCAATTATAATAGGGAGGTTTTAGTTTTTTAAACTCTTTCTTGGCGTGTCATAATAATGTACACAAGTGATTGTAATAATAATTAATGTAGGCGACGCACAGTGGTTCAGAGCTCACATTAAGCACGAAAAAATTCGTATCTCCTATGAACCGTGACCGATTATTCTTAAATTCGAACACAATAATCTGCTTTGATGTAGCACATTTGAGACTATGTTTAGTTCAAATACCTCTACCCGTACCAGAATTATATACCAAAGTATGGTCACAAGGAATGGATAAGATACACTATCCGTTAAATTATAAAAAATATGACAATATCGGTGTTAAGTGAAAGGTAATTGGAAGTACATTAATCCAGACATGTGTTCGGGTTTCCACCCAGTAAATATTCTAAAGAGAATAACTTTGTAGATTAACGTCTTTTTTGTTTTGCTAAACATAAATGAACTTGGAACTGTAAGGTTAGTTTAACATATGCACAGTATTTTATATCGCTTTTAAACGCAGTTTACTTTTCAGAAAAAAATTTGAGTTCTTAATATAAAAACGACAAGAGATATTAAATTTGTGATTATTGAGCTCTTTTATTTAAAATTTATTTAACAGTCACTATCTAGAATGTTGTCAGCATCATGAAACTCAAGGTTTTCTATTTCTGCCATAGATGGATCGGCTAATAATTCTATAACTTCTACACATAATGTTTGAGAGGTCTGACTGCGAAATGTTGATTTTCTTGAAAGAGAGGACACTAAAGGACCGATGACAACAGTAATACATAAAACAAATCTTCCATTGTTTTTTCACGTGAAATTTTTCAGGTATGGAACTCTCTAAAGTTTCTAAAGTCTTAGTCCTTGACTCCAAGGCTTCCTCCGACAACATTCCAATTGGTAATGAAGCGCTTTGTATTATGTCGGCTCCATGGATTAATATCTATATAATTGAATTTATAATTATAATTGAAGCTTTATAACAACTGACTAGAGCTGCTAGCATCAACTTCTCGTTGGATGTGGTGTTGACGAGGCAAGATACAGCTGAATTTTTAGCTCTTTTACTTTTTTTCCGAAAAGTTCTTAGCGGGCCGGCCTGAAGAGAAACTTGGAACGTCATTACCGATCTTCTCTCAATTCTCGAAATCCTGGTAAATTTCGGAGAATCTAATGAAGCCATCAAGCCATTCTTTGTTGCGAGCTTCGAAAACTGATTTCGTTCTATTTGCAGATGCCCATTTTCTTGACAAAGCAGACGTGAAATTCCAAATTAAATTTTTAATTTGCTTACAATTATCGAAGGAAGAATTTTCATTTAACCCAAGTAGTAAAAACACATGATTAATTACAGCAACGGTTTTTGGTTTGCTGTTAACTTCCTCGCACCAAACGTTGTAGAGTACCCTTTTTGAGATGGACATCTTTCTTAAAAAGAACAATAATTTCCAAATAGGCAAAGCCTGGCGCCTATAATTTAAAACATTTAAAGGTGAATATTAAACCCTTTCAAAAGAAATAAAAAAATCAGTGCTATCAAAAAATGGTGTTGAAAGTCTACGTATAAGTGAAGACGATTCGGAATGTAAGCTTATAGACGTCTCACTTCTTTCAACAACATTTGCTAATAACCAGTGGTTTTATTTAAAAAAGAAAAACTAACTTTGTTATAAGCCTATAAGTTGTAGATTTTAAGTCAGCAAAAACCAGTACGAAGTATTGTGCGATGGTCTTTATTTTCTATTCAATTTATAGTCATGAACTTCAAAAAAGTCGCTGCTGAAGTAACTGCACACTAATTGCAGGGGCACACTACATTTTTATTTCGCATCAAATTGAATATTTCTGGTACCGTTACCTACAGTGGCCATTAAGCTTCCATTTACTTAACATTTTTTGTATTATTTCAACTTTTGAATTTTCGATTTTCTTTGCGGTAGATACTTCATTTGTACCAGTGTGCGACGCCAGCATGCCTACCTTGTTTATCGCATGGCGAGTTGGTGCTTTTTCGGGCGCAGTACGTCACAGAGTAGCTTGTGCTGCGAGCGTGGCTGGGAACGGAGAAATTTGGCGATTGTGGTGCTATGCCGCCCGAAGGTGATTTTTTCCCAGGCAAAATTGAATTTGGTCCGCCATCTTTGTTGTTCAGATTCGGAGTGCTCTTGAAAATGTCCTTCATTACATCCAGAGGCCGGAAGTCGGAATCTAAACTGTCCACAGCCGCCTCCAGAGTTAGCAGTAGTTCAGTGACGTAGCCTTGCATGTCTTCGCCCTGCTCGGCAACAGTTTCCACCAAGCGAGACAGTATGTCGGAGAGCATACGCGAGTTGATGGGCACGTTGAGGGCGCGAAATATTTGCAGACAACGGCCCGCGTAGTGACGCGACGAACAAGATAAGCCCAGCTGCAGAGCGGTTTGCGCCCAGCGCTCGGCAATGCGGGCCTGTGGGTAGCTGTCGGCGAATACCTTCCCCACGTGCTTAAGGAAGCAGCTAAGCTGTTCGGCTGACTTCACCATCCACACTGGCGTTGTATAAGGAAGAGAGAACATAAATGAAGTAAATGGTTTGTGAAGCTTACAGCTTACCTTTCGCTGTGATATCTTCGTAGTTCCACAATGGTTGGCAGGTGTCTCGAGCGAGAAATCGCAACAAACTTTTGATTACATGCGAGATTAGCATGGTGGGGCCCGGTTGTGGGGGCGCATTTTCATCGGTTATTATCAGTGGCACTTCAGAGTTTTCCGAAGTATTTGGATTTATTTGCAAGTTGCCAACATTCAAGACCACTTGATGCTGTTGATTTTGCTGCTGTTGTAGCGGTTGAAGTTGTTGCTGCTGCTGCTGCAACTGTTGTGGTTGCCCAATCACCTGCAGCTGTTGAGTTTGCGACTGTAGCTGTGCAGCAAGAGGCGGCGGTTGTTGCAAGTTTGTGTGTTGCACTTGTTGCTGTTGTGTTGTTGCGTAGTATGTATTAACGTTTTGGATATTCGCAGTCGACAGAGCTACAGCAGAGTTCCCATTATGGCTCATCGCATGGATCATACTTGAATTGGAGACGGGTAAATTGCATGGACTAACGTTGTACAAATAGCTGTCGAAATCTTGATGTGATTCTGAAATTAAAGGGAAGATGGAGAACATTTTTTAAAACATCATCTGGTTAAGCTTAATAGTACTCGCTAGTTACTAGAGCAGGACTGGATTTGAATTGAAAAAGTTATTTGTGATTAGTTAGGTATATATGTTTGTGGAACGTTCCATGTCAAACGGACCAAAGCTCTGTCCAAAATTCTATGGGATAGAAATTAACATAAAGCATGTCAAAAGAATCGTAAATTTATAATGCATCAAATCAGACATAGCAGAATTGAAAATTTAGTATTGCGTAAATGCCGTGACACTTAAAAGACGTCATGTCCGTAAACGCGCAAATAAATTTATCATTAAGTTTGTTAAAACAGTGGTCAGTTATGTATTAGGTAAAAACGGATTCTAATGTTTTTGGGCTCGCTGATCACCCGAAAAGTCAAAATCAAACGTACGTACGGTGTATGAGCAACATTCATATCTCATCTGGGTTACTCAACTTTTCCGTGATAAATGGTAGACCGAATATGCATCCGCTATTTGAATTTTTAAAATCTGATTTCAGATTCATAATCAGCGGCCTAGAGAAGCCCCAATTATAAAGTTTTAAGCGAATCGAATCGATTTTGAATGTTTTGTCCGTCACATTGGGTCCACCATTTTAAATTTTTATAATCCGAATTCAGATTCAAAATTAGCGACCTCGATAACCTACGAGTACCGAAATTTAAATGAATCCGGTAAGTTAAAAAAAATCTTCCGTCATATTGGATCCTGAAGATATATCACCGGAAAATACTGAAAATTTGCTTGATAATACGCTCTTTAAAATACATTTATGCAAGTTTATGTACAGTATGTAATAAATAAATAAACGTTTTAAAATTCATAAACTGCACTTTATTTACATAAGATTAACAGAACTCAAACACTTTTAACCGACTTCAAAAAAGGGGAGGTTATCAATTCGCCGGAATACATAACTTTTTCACCACGTGAACCGATTTCAATAATCCTTTTTTTATTGGAAATATGGTACCTCTAGGGTCGTCCCGTAATTTGGTTTAGAGATCCGATGATTGGATCATGAAGAAATTAACGGTACCCCTAAATTTGTATATGAGAATTGAAGTCGGTTGGGTTCTTTCCTTAAAAACTACTTGTTTAATAAAAAGTTCTATAAACTCAAGATGCGCTCAACTTTCAAAAGTACCTAATAAAAATTTTAAAAAAGAGTCAGTAAAAATAAATATATTGATTCCATGAATTTTTGCACTTTTATGTTCATTTTTTCGATTTCTGGTTTCTGGTTTTCGATAGATGGTGATTTTTCACGATTGCTAAATTTTTTTAATATTTCGAGTTCCGAAAAAATTAACTGAACTCTCAAGAAAAACGAAAAATTCATATAAAACGACGGACGAGAAATGGAAAAGAAATTTTCTTCTACCAAATTTTCATAAATCAGTTTGCAGCTCTCAAGAAAAAAATGCTCGTAAATTTATTTCCTCATGAAAATTTACAGCAAAAGCAAAGCGCCTTTTCAAGCAACAGAAATTATAATAAATATTTCTTATAATTTCCTTGAGAGCTGGATTCTTAGCTTTAAGATACAGTTTGCATTTGAGGTTATTAGCTTTAGGGGGGGTTTGAACCCCAAAACCCACCCCTTGTGTGCGCTAATGGTCGCAGCGTTTACGTAATGCTAAATTTTCAATTCTGCCACGTTTTATTTGGTGCGTTATAAATTTACGAGTCTTTTGACATGCTTTACGTAAATTTATGTCTATCCCATGGAATTTTGGACAGGGCTTTGGTCCGTTTGACATATACATATATGTTTAGTCCTTTTAGCCTCTCATATTGTTTTAACACTTTCACCAATTGAGCAACAATAACAGCAATGACAATGTAATATTTTAAAGCAATAATGGATAAAAATATACATATATGTAGCGCAGGTTTGGATCTTCTTTTTCAAGAACCGATGATTTGTTCAAGTAACCAAAGATTAGAAAGCTTCAAGAATTATTTAAAATATCCAAAAAAAAAAATTATTAATTTCATACTGCCGAACGTAAAAAAAATTATATTTTTATTAAAATTGTTACGCTAATAGCAAACGTCTCGAATTTTCAGCAAACTTTTCGATTGTTGTCTCCTGAATTATATCGCGGTTTTGTTGTTGTGTTTCTCAGCTACCTTTCTACTCTACGAAGTGTATTAAACGATCGCTCCACAGTCTCTGTTGTGCATGGAAAATCACTCAGAATGGAAATACACCCATTTGTCGCTAGTAGAAATTCATTCGCTTTTTTAAATAGATCTACAACTTCAACAGACTGTCCATAACTAATCAAACTTGCAGAAAGCAACCTCATTCCCTGTGGATCCTATGGTGCTTGGCTGTAATATGGGGTTGTAGGCGACCGCCATAGCCGAAGGTTAGAGGTGCGAACTATCTACTACTCGGAAGCAGTGGTAAACGTCCAAGTGTATTTCTGCCATGGGAAAGCCTCTCATAAAACCATTTGCCATTCGGAGGCGACGTAAGCTTGTAGGTTTGTCCATTTGAGTTATAACCAGGGCGACCAAAATTAAGCGTGAATTATGAAGGAGATGAATAGAGAAATTGTAGCTGTGAAAAATAAATTGCACGGTGCTACCAAAAAAAGTAGTGTAGGATAGGATAGGATAGTGTTTGGCTGAGATTTGGCTCCGATTTGTGGCGTGCGCCTTTGTGTTGTCACACAAAGGGGAGGGATCTACAATTTTACGCCATCTCCGAACGGCGATGGTATTTTTATGAGAAGCTGTTTTTCATGGCAGAAATACACTCGGAGGTTTGCCATCGACTAACGGGAGGCGACCGCTGTTAAGAAAAACCTATTTTTTCTATATTTTTTGCGATGTTGCTTTCACCAGGGCTTGAACCCAGGCATTGCTAACCACTACACCCAGCGGCAAAAATACGGTCTTGTATTTATATGTGTGCATGTACCGGACGTTCAGATTTTTTGAGCAGTGTGGCTAAGGAGCTCATCAATATTTACTAAAAATTGATATATACAATGGTTCTTTTGTGATATATGTATAACTCAAAAACTTTTTCACCGATTTCGACCAAATTTTGTATAAATATTGCGCTTAGCCCTATTAAGCACCGTGTTGTATATTTTGAAATGAGACCACCTCGGAGACACTACCTTTCCGATAGAAAAAGAATTATCGAAATCGGTTGACGTGGTCCAAAGTTATGCGTTAAACATACATAAAAACAATATAAATTCTCACGAATTCATAACCTTCTCTTTTTCTGAAGTCGGGTAACATAAGAAAACCGTTGGTTAGCGATAAAGCTATTATTGATTGACACAGAAGGCGATGTGTGAATTAAGAAAATATGTGTAATTTTACAAAAACAACTGAGTATTTCATTATCACACGAATATACGTTTTTCGACTACGCACACAAAAGTGAGGTTATATTAAAATGTATCTAACCATAGGCAAACCAATTATGTACGTTCCGTTATTCGTAGTTAACTTCTCAATGCACTTAATTAGTTATCAATTCGTCGGAATATTTTTTTATGTATGTTACCACATAAATTTGGATCACGTTAACCGGTTTCTATAATTTAGTTTAAAGGAAAGGTGGTACCTCCGAGGTGGTCCCATACTTAATTGGTTTAGATCCGATCATTGGATCATGAAGAAATTAACGGTATCCTTAATTTTTTATATGAGAATTGAAGTCGGTTTTTGTTTTTGCTTAAAAATTACTTGTTATGGTTCAAGAACGGTGGGGTGCAATAACACCATACGCATTAAGGCCATATGGTCTTATTTCCATTTTGTTTTGGAAATAAAACCATATGGCGTTATTTCCAATCCAGAAGTGAAATAAAGTCATATTCAAATTTGTGCAAATGAGTAATAAAGCCATATTCTGAGATGACACTGTCAAGGCGAATTAATAAGGCGGTGTTACTGCCGAATCTGAATTTTTCGCCGTAGAGAACATTACGTCCAAATGCAATGAATTATTTAAATTGATACAAATTATTACTAATAAAATGAAATAAATAATTATTTAATATTTCCGGATTTATTGGATATTGGAAAATAAATATATGTACTTAGGTAAGTTTTAATTTTGCGAGTGCATAGCCTGGCGGGTGCACATTTGCTGGCTCCCCGCACCGCGCCACGCCGCACGCGGCCGCGCCCCGCTCGCGACCCCCGCGTCTCGATGCACTGCAGTAGAAAGTTTTTCCCACTTACATGGACTTCTGCATACGGAACCTTTCTCCTTTCACTTACAATGAAAAACTAAACATTTAAGGAACATGAAAATGACATTCTTTATATTAAAATAAATGCATTGTAATATTATTCAATTTCATAACTTACATATTACATCTTATTAAAACTCTTGAAATTTATTATTAAAATATTTAATATATCCTTTGAAGTTTCGTGGATTATCAATTTCCAAATTACAATCCATATTCACAAATTTACAATCAGCATTCTCTATGGCAAAGATCTTCGCCTGAAAGATATTACAGTTGTCATGAAGGCGATATGATCGTCTTATCTGCGGGTCGTCTCCTTATGCCATTTTAGAGCCACCGTTGTAGATGGAAATATCTTCATTACCCGCCAGGGGGCTTTGTTTTCTTTGTGAACAAGGCATTCTAATTTTTGAAGGGTGATGCGTTGTAACGCTAATTTTGGCGTTTACCAAAAAAAAGCAATCGTTTCTGTTGAGATGATTCAGTTTTTTATTTTAGGTAATTATCAAAATACCTAATTCCATTTTGGTTTTTAACGAAAAGAAATTCAATCGTTAACACTGAAGCTGTAGCATGCATTCAGGCGCTAGGTGGTAACATTGAGCGGGAAATGACATACAACAACCACTTTTCGTTGATGTACATATTTCGTTTCACCGTTAACGATTGAGTTTTGTTTCGTTACTTTAGCTCTGAAACGTAACGAAATTATTTTAATAAGTTAT